CGTGTATTTTTTTGCGAGTTTTGAGGGTGCAGTCTTTCTTTTGTGTTTAGTGCTCACGCACGCGCCTATGTGAGGAATACAGATGTCACTAGAGAGTAACACAAAGAAAAGGAGGAAGAGAGGTAAGGACAATAGAAGTTTGATGGGAAAGAAGGAGCTAATCATACCAGAACACCCGACAACCACCCATTTACAAACCACAATGTTGTTGTTGTTGTTTTCAAATCCCTTTAGCTGCCAGCATTTCGCTCTTGGCAGCGCAATGCCTCCCTCAAGTAACCTCATGTCCTTGTCATCTGGTCAACGCCAGAGTAGAGCAGGCTTTGTAAGTCTGTAGGTGTGTGTAGGAGCTTGCGTCGAAGAACTGCCAGGTTCGGACAGTGAAGGAGAAGATGTTCAACGGTCTCCTCGTGGTAGTCACAGTGTCTTACAACCTACAATAGACTATTGCTCCTTGAACCAACCCACCCCAACTCCCAAAAAATAAATAAAATGAAATTATATAAAAAAATAATACTCATCAGAAAACTCAACATCCAGGCGTGGGGGTAGGACAAAATAAACTCACATGTTAGCTCAAGACAGCCCCTTAATGAAGCAGCATGATTTTTTTTTCAAAGAGTTTCGTTTCGGTTTTTTCAGAAAACTGATAATCAATTTGCTAAATGCAGGTATTTCTCGAAACCTCTTCAAATCGTAAAAAGCAGTGAAGTGGGCGAGTGCGTGCGTGTGTGTGAGCGCGTACGCGCGCGCGCGCGCGCATAAGGCCGGGTAGACGGGCGGCTGGCAGAGGACTTAGAGCATCGTCATCATGTCTCGAGAGTTCTAAGGTTGTCTCTCACCGCGGTCAGGGACTTACTCCTTGTGCTGGGCGGAGGCACAAAGGTACATCTGGATATCCAGTTCTTGCGCCTGATTCAAACCTAAGTTCAAGACCCAAGTCGCCCCCCCCTCTCTCTCTCTCTCTCTCTCTCTCTCTCTCTCTCTCTCTGATTCAAACCTAAGTTGGAGACCCCCCCCCTCCTTTCTTTCTCTCTCTCTCTCTCTCTCGACTTACTTTTTGTCCTGCTTTCTCTCTATATATTACAATGATCCGAATTTATATTTTGGGTTTCCGCAGAGCACTAGATCTACTTTCTACATGTAAGTACCAGCGTACACAGTTTAGAAGTTTAAAAAAAAGGGGGGGGGGGTGAAGGGGGTTGGCATTGAGCCTGTGTGCAAGAACAAAATACAGACTAATCGGGACATTTCCGAGAGCCAGACTATCTCTTCAACTAGCTTAGATCCAAATCCAAATCGGGTAGCATTAAGTCTATGGAGAAGTAAGTTTGTGATTGAGCAGATAATGTTGCTGAAAAGGCCTAAAATCCAGGTGGACCTAGTTTTAATTATCATCCAGCTATTTCCAAGAAGTGAAACTGGATATCCAGTTAATGAAGATCCTAGTTAAGTGGATGGCCGGCCGGCACTACTTGTTCGCCTCTTTCAGTCCCGGTCTATTGGACGAGCCCGCACCGAATGACACGGAACGACCGGCGCCTGTGAAAGGAACAAGCTCTCTCTGAAAGGAACACGGTCCATCTGAAAGAAACACGCTCGTGTGT